AACTACTAAAGTTCTATCTTCTTCGAAACCCTATCTGCAATAGTGTATGTACCTGGCGCATCATAGCCTAAGATGCTTTTGCGCCATAAAACCCAACCCAACCCATAACTGACGTAGCCATACATGGTGAAGCCATTCTGGAAGGCAGCACCCAACTGCTTCTCGAAAAAGGAATTGGCGTCGCACGAGGCGTAACGGATCTCCTAGAGGGACGTAAAACCGCTCTCGTGACAAACTTTCGAGAGGAGCCGCAACACGTAACGAAGGTACAGCCCTAGGCCACATCGGCGAGCTTCAAACGCAAGCCGTGGTCACCGCAATCTCTGGGGAAACCTTGTCGTCACAGCGGAAGAGCACGGCGCCGCAGCAGTTCGACATTGACCCCGAACTCCCAGGTTCTAACCGCCGGCAACTGGTTGATCTCCTCGCCGAATACAGTGACGGTTTTGCCACATCGTCAAAAGTTCGCCAAACCCCAATGGCGAAACATCGCATTGTTACCGACGATGACGCGCTCCCTGTCCACCAGGCGCCGTATCGAGTCTCCTTAAATTAAAGGAAGGTAATTCAAGATCCGGAAATGCTCGTCGACAACATCATTCAACCCTCAAGAAGTCCGTGGACGTCCCCAGTCGTCCTTGTAAAGAAGAAGGATGAAACTTTGAGGTTCTGCGTGGATTATCGTCAACTAAACGCTGTGACTAAGAAGGACGTCTATCCGCTCCCCCGAATCAACGAAACGTTGGACTGACTGCGCCACTCCCGATATTTTTCGTCGATGGACCTGAAGAGTGGTTACTGGCAGATTGAAGTCGACGAACGCGACCGGGAGCAAACTGCCTTCGTCACTCCCGACGGACTGTACGAATTCAAAGTGATGCCGTTTGGTCTTTGTTCAGCACGAGCCACCTTCCAGTGTGTCATGGACGCCGTGCTGGCAGGTCCGAAATGGCAGAGCCGCCTCGTATCTGGACGATGTTGTTGTATTTGTACCGGACTTCGAAGAACACCTGAAACAACTTCAAGCCGTGCTTCAAGCCATCAAGACCGCCGGCCTGTCACTCAAGCCAACAAAGGGTCGGTTCGCCTGTGGTGAGCTAAAGTTCCTTGGCCACGTCATGAACAACAAAGGTGTTTTTCCTGACCCAGAGAAGACCCGTGCCGTATCTGCATTTACGTCACCGTCTGACCAAAAGGCTGTGAGAAGATTTCTCCGAATTTGTGCCTACTACAGACGGTTTGTTCGGGACTTCGAAAAGCTGTCCGCACCGCTTACGCACCTCACGAAGGACGCCGTAAAGTTTGAATGGACAGAAGAACACCAACGGTCATTCGATGAGCTCAAACGAAGACTCCAGACGCCCCGGATCCTTGGCCATTTCGACCAGTTCGCTGACACAGAGATCCACACTGACGCCAGTAACACCGGACTTGGTGCGGTACTAGTTCAAAGGCAGGACGGAGTAGAGCGAGTCATTGCATACGCGAGTCGGAGGCTGTCTAAGGCGGAGAGGAACTACTCAACAACTGAGAAGGAGTGCCTCGCTGTCGTCTGGGCAATAACAAAGTTTCGCCCATATTTGTATGGAAGACATTTTCGCGTGGTCACGAACCACCACTTGCTCTGCTGGCTCGCGAATCTGAAAGACCCCTCTGGATGCCTCGCCCGGTGGAGCCTACGACTGCAGGAGTTCGACATGACCGTTGTGTACAATTCCGGCCGGATGCGCAATGACGCCGACTGCCTGTCAAGAGCTCCTGCCGAGGCCGGTCCTGCCTGTATCGAAGAAGACGACGATGAGTGTTTTCATGGCGCTTGGGACGTCAGCGGCATGGCAACACTCCAACGAGACGACCCTGAACTGCGAGCGCCCATCGAGCACTTAGAGGGACAAGCGAGTACGGTTCTCCGTGCTTTCTTTAGAATCCTGCATACCTTCTCCATGCGGCAAGGAGCGCTGTACAAGGAGCACTTCGTCAACAACAACACAGCATGGCTGTTGGTTATTCCTGCCAGCTTTCGAAACGAAATCTTCCAAGGATGCCATGACGACCCAAAGGCTGGACACCGTGGCTACGGCAGGACGCTCGCCAGGATTCGAGAAAAGTACTATTGGCCGAGGCTACCGAAGGCTGTTCACCTCTGCATTCGACCATGCCACGAGTGTCCGCGACGAAAAACACCGCCGACGAAGCCATCAGGGCTTCTGCATCCGATTGCTCCCCCGTCCAGGCCGTTCCAGCATATCGGAATGGATTTACGTCGGGAAACCGCTGGATAATCGTCACCACAGATTATCTCACATGGTACGCCGAGGCGAAATCCCTTCCATCAGGTAGGGCTGTGGAAGTCGCTAAGTTTTTCATCGAGTTCACTGTCCTCCGGCACGGTGCCCCCGAAGTCCTCATTACAGACCGTGGATCATCGTTCATGGCCCAGCTGACGAAAGAGATCCTTCGTCTTAGCGGTACCGGCCACCGTCGAACCACTGTGTAGCATCCGCAGAAAAATGGAGTAACAGAACGTGTAAACGAAACTATCCCCGACATGATCTACATGTATGTCGGCGTAGAGCACAAGACTTGGGACGAGGTGTTACTCTACGTCACGTTTGCTTACAACACGGCGGTGCAAGAGACGACAGGAGTAACGCCGTTTTAGCTGGTGCATGGCAGAAAAGTAACGACCATGCTCGACGCGATGCTACCCCACGAACCAGTTGACGATGGGATCCTGAACGCCCTGGTGGTTGCTCAACGAGCCGAAGAAGTTCGCCAACTCGCCCGACATCCGAATTTAAGATTAACAACGTGTCGACGCTACCCGGTACAACTTTCGCCGGATCGACGTTCGTTTCAAGCCCGGAGACCGTGTGTGGGTTTGGACCCCGATACGACGACGCGGTGTAAGCGAGAAACTCCTGAAGCGCTACTTCGGACCCTACAAAGTGCTTCGTCGACTCGGGGATTTGAACTATGAGGCGATGTCCGACGGAACACGGACTGCGTCATGGCGCCCTCTACGACCGGAAGTCATCCACGTCGTGCGCCTCAAGCCGTACTACGCACCATAACACTGTGAACTGTGATCATGTGCAACGCTTGATAGGATTGTGTTCTGCCAGCTCCGTATTTTCCCATTTTTTTGTTCGTCTTGCTCTGTTTTGTTGCCTTTCAGGTGGCATTGAGACGATGCCTTTTTAAAGGGGGGAGTGAAGCCACGCGCGTCGGCGAGCGAGCGCGTGCGTGGCGAGTTACTGTGAGGGCGCAGGGCACGATGTTTTAAATAGGGTTAAAAGAATGCCGGTAAAACCTTATTTTAAGTCGTTTTTCTTTCAATTGCATTGCGGCGTGCTACCTGTCAAACCATGGCTTGAGGGGAAAGGATTTTTTGTGCCATGGTCGATTGATTGTTTCCTTTGTAAAAGGCCTGAAACTATAGAACATGTATTTTTAGAATGCTGGGATGCGGTTTTCCTATGGGACATCCTGCAGCGAACCCTCAAGAAAGTTTTCCTTCTCACAGCGCATGGCATACGGTTTCTACCTGTAGATAACGAAGGCGGTGTTCCCTACGATATATTTATGCTCCTTGGCCTCCACAGTCTTTGGAGGACGAGGACGGTTGTTAACAACGCGGACGCACAGGTTCGGCCTGCACGAGAGTACCTCATTGAAAGCGCCGCTTATATACGTGAACTATGCCGTGCACTGTCTGATCCACCGGGCTGGACGTTAATGTTGGACAGGTTGGTCTGTCTAGAAAGATTTTAATGTTGCCGCGAGGCCCAATTACGGGCCAGCGCGCTTTTAACATTGGTCAATGTGTGTTTGTGCCTTTGTGCTTTTAGTTGTTCTTGTCAAAACAGGCAATAAAGAAGAAGAAAAAGAAAGGGTGCGTGGCCGAGTGGTTACCGCACTAGACTTTCGTGCGGTAGCCCAGGGTTCGATTCCTGAGAGCGCCGCGTCTTTTATTTATTTTGTCAATTTAGATTTCTGGTAATTTCGAGAACCGTGTTGGGCTTGTTCTAGGTTAGAATGATCTACGCGCCAAATTTTCTAGGCCGATTGTTGCAGAAGTCCACGAGTGTACAAAAGGGACCCCGCGTGGATAGCCGGAGTCAGTTTCGCCCCAGCGTTCGACTCTGCTGTCACGCCGACTTGGACGCCCGCGACACTCTGCTTTCTTCTATTCCTTTTTTTGGGGGGGGCACAAGTGCGCCCCATTCAACGTTCAGTTTACTCAGTCATTCACCGCCTCATCACTTCTCATTCATGACCATATCTCTAGACAAGAGACCTGAGAAACGCTGAACTCGGCTGAAGTTTGGCAATGGCCGGACCTGCGGTAAGCCTAATTGGGTTTTGTTCAATGGCGTTAGTTATTGCCAAGGAACTTCTCTCGTCTATGACTTTTATCTAGTACTACAGATAATTTCCAAAGTACTAGACATGAGCACAAAATGCCACTCACCAACAAAAAAACCAGCAGTGGAGGCTTTTTAGGCCAAAAGTTTCCAGATAAAATTGGAAGAACCACGAACTAAGCGCTTTTTTTTTCATTTTCTGGGGAACTGAAGCCCAAACAGGGCAGATGACAGGAGAGTAACCTGGTAGTGAAGCCTAACTGTGGCACTTGCATGGCCATTCCGGGGCCAAATAGCCACACGTACTAAGTTTATCAAGTCAAAATTATTCCTTGACGTTTTGGGGCGTTCATAACCCTAAACTGCCAGAGATCAAATGTTAGCACAAAGAACTGTTCTACCTGGAGTTTGACGAGCATGGTGACGTGGTTACAAATATTAGAAAAACTAAACGGAAAGGAGGTTCGAGAACGGGAATGTAGAGGCTACTGGCCCCTTCTTTGTGTTTTGCGTTTATATTACTAGTTTAATACGTGATTACGGGTATACAAGGTAAAACAATTGGGCACTGAAAACTGTGCCTCCACGTGTGAGTGGAAGGACAAATGAGGCAGAAACTTCGGAAACAGCATATTTACTGCTATCGTAGTCTTTAATATCTGGAATTCTAAAATCAGATATTATTTAATATTCTAAGGACTTTCACATAGAAGGTGATTTTACTTCAACGCGATTTAAAATTAAAGTTGGAATCACTAAATATTTATTTGTGCAGGCACGCATGTTGAGAGTTAAATGGCAACACCTGGCACACAGAATTATCTCGCACAAAGTGAAGCGCATTTTTATGAGCCGAATCAGGGTTTACGAGCCGCCAGGACAAATCGGAATACGTCTGGACTGCCCAGTGTAGCCCCAAACGCAACGAATCGATATAGCTTCATCTGAAAGCCAGCATCTGCTACGGCTTGATATAACGCATCTTTCGTGAGGTTCGCGTGGGGAAAGTCAACGTTTCCCACAGGATAACTCTTTACTCCGCCAGCGCCCACGAGGACAAGCAGGCCGCCAGGTTTTGCGAGATCTCCCACGTTGCTAAGCGCCCTTCGGAACGATTCGTGGTCTGCTGTGGCCGAGTCCAAGCATCCGGAGGAGAGGACGACGTCGAAGGTTTCCCTGTGTTCCTCCGGGAGCACTCCAGGCTCCAGGACGTCGCAGGGGAGAACCTTGCGGATGGCCGAGCGTGTGCGCTCGAGGATTTCCAACGCCCCTTTCTTCTTGTCACTGCAGAGCAGAATGGGGAAGGAGTGGTCAGCTTTTAGGTAAATATGATGGCAGATACGGTGTATAAATTTGTGCAGAGAGCTAAAAAATGAAAGCCGCTTACAACTCCCTGTAACGCCGAATTAGAGCGCAGCTCTTGAGGAGGGAAGAGTACTGAGGGGAGCGCATACCCTCCTCCCTCCTCCTCACCTTCTCATCCTGTCTGCTACTCCTCCCTCCGAGCGGCGTCGTCGTCGCCTCACGAGGGTCACGTGAGCTCACGGGGGTTACGTGACCTCTGTGAGGTCACGTGACAATAACATCACCAGTGACGTAACTGATGACGTCATGGATGACGTCATCAGTAACGTAATTGTGATGATGACGATGAGGATGACGTTATCACAATGACGTCACTAATGATGTCATTATTAAGGACGTCATCAATGATGTCACTGGTAACGTCATCAGTGACGTAACGCGCCCCATAATGCTCCACGGGTTACGCCGATGCCGACGGCGACGGCGATGCCGCTCAAGCCGGAAGCGGGGGCCTAAGAGCTGCGCTCTAAAATGATCAGGGTTTCGGGGATTTTTTTTAGAGCGCAGCTCTTAGGGACCCGTTTCCGGCTCGAGCGGCGTCGGCGTCGGCGTAGCCGTGAGGTCACGTGAGCCCCCCCCTTGAGGTCAGGTGCCCCCCTCCGCCAGAGGAGATTGAAGATTGAAGGGAGGAGAAGGAGGAAGAGGAGGGGTATGCCCTTCCCTTAGTACCCTTCCCTCCTCCTCCTCCTCAAGAGCTGCGCTCTAATTCGGCGTTACAGGGAGTTGTAAACGGCTTTGATTTTTTATGCTGTCCTTAGACCTGTGAGGCCAGATGAGGTCACACACAGCCCGACTTTTTTAGTTGTCCTGCGTGCATTGTGCTTGACCTCTAGCAGAATGGGTAATTCTATATTATAATATAATGACCATGATGCAACAAGTTTGATTGTAGGGTGATTTTAGAAAAGATCGACTAAAGCGTGGCTGGTCGACATCTTTAATTCAACTGATGTCTTTATATGCCATTGTGTAGCCTGTGGTATAAACAAATCCATTCTTAGTTTGGCCGAAAAATATTTGGAGACAGGAAAACTCGTAAGTCATGAAGAGGCGGACAGTTGCATTAACGCGCAGTGATGGAGGGGGCATGTTTGAAAGTGAATGACTAAAATTATAATGTTAGCAGAATTCTAATACTTTTTAAAATTAAACTATGGGTACAGCGTGCTCGTAAATAAAATATTAACATTTATTTAAATTATATTTAGTTTTCTAAAAATTGCCAAACATGCCTGCTTGAACGACAAATGGCGAAATTGGGAGGCCTGTATCTCACAAAAAAATTGAATCATCATATAATTTGCAGGTAATATCCTACTTATATAAGGCTATTATTAAAAAAAAAATAAAATGAATTGCGTTTATTGTACGTTCTGTCAGGTTGTTCAGCGTGGCCTGATGTTTCAAGAGTCCGCCAACTACGTCGCACGCATGTTTCCGTGTCCAGATGCAGAAAATAACCACTGGGCCTGCGGGCAATCATTCTGTGCAAACTGGTGAAGCTGGTACCGATTCTTAAAATGACTGGCGGTCCCGTCACTTACGTACGTCACGTGCGAGTATACCGCAACGTTATCTTCAACCGATTCTTTCACTTTTTCTAGAGCCGAGCACGTGAGAGCGACGTCGTCACACAGGTCCTTCCTGATGATAGCAACGCAATTTGTAGATTTTCTCGTCGTCACTACACATGTAAATATCGCAACCTTTTTTTCAGTGGTATGAGTTAACTTTGCCAGAAAGCACGATGGTCCGATTTTCAGCAAATTCAAAATGAGAGACGATGCTTTTGCGTTGCATGCAGCTGCTTTTCATAGTAGATCGCTTTATCTTGCGTTTGCCGGATATGGTTGTGAAATATTCAACTTTCAACCGTTACTTGAACAACTTTTAGGAAAGTCTCTAAATACAATTTCTTTTTTTACAAGATCGTCGGGCTCCTATGTTGTAAGCACAATCTCTTCATACTCTGGGATATAAAGTTCCTTGAGTGTAAGAGACTGGCCTTTCGGGCAGTGATCACAGTCTCCTTTAAGACACAAACTTGTTAGTGGGTCGCACAGAAATGCTGAGTTCATTTCACCAGCGTTGAATTTTGAGCCTGTAACGTTCTCTACTGCGGCAATACAAATGTAATAATTGGTACTGCGCACACAAGCGCACACTTCCTGGTGTGGAATACATTTGACCCATCTAGGTCGCAAGGAATAAAGTTTTGTTAGCCCAACGCCGGAATGAGGATGCCTGTCTTTGTATACAGGGAAGGCCTCTCGGATTGCGCCAGTCAGGAAGCGCTTTCGCACGAACTTTTTCTGCCCGTCGAGCATGTCAGAGATCGTCCTTCTGGTTGGGACCTTGATGCGAACATTGTAGCTCGTCTTTATAGCGAAGTACTCTGGGGCAGCAGGCACGTTCTCAGGGCTCACCTTGCACCTCATGTGAGGATCCAGCTCATGCCACACGCCATGCTTTTCCTTACCTAAAACGTAAACACTGTCGCATTATTAACGTTTCCTAGGTTAACATGGCGACAGTGTTCACGCTTTATTGCATTTAGGCGGGGCTCGAGTATCTGGGGGTTCTGCTCTCTGTCCGTGTGCCTCTTTGTGCCTGATATTATCGCCCGCGAAGCCAGCGAGTGGGATGGAGACAGGCACGACTGCTCAGTAAACAGGCATCGGCGGTCATATTTTGCTGGTTGAAGCGAACCCCCTCATCCTTGACAGCGAGCGGGGAAATGCGAAAATAAATTGTATTGGCCGTTTTTCCAGAACTAGCGACGAGTGTCGCCTGCTGGTTGCGTCAACTGTTGCGCCATAATCGTGATCTTCGCCGCTAGACACTATTACGCTCAAAGGGAATCCTTGAATATGCTTTTATTCTAGATATAAGTAAAGGATATATAAGAGAGAGAGAGATATGGAGATAGAGGGTAAGAAAGAGGAGCGTATAAAGTCGTAGGCAAATAAAGTAAACAAAGTTCCCAGTGGCCGATGGCTGCAGGATCTTTTCTCGGATCACTAGTTCGTAATATGATAGCTCTTTCTACACAGCAGTTTCTCCTCAACTGAAGTGTGTGAACAATTTTTACAGTTATCAATGGCCTCATCTGAATAAAAATATATAAATGAGTGTGTATTTTAATCATTATTATATTATTTGCATCGGAATTTTTTGTTGTTTTAATTTTTTCCCATGTTTGCCTAAATATATCCTGACTAGCGTATCAGTCAGATACCTTATTTATTTTTTAATAATAGCCATATATAAGTAGAATGTTAGCTGCCAATAATATAATAATGATTAAATTATTTCATGAGATACAGGTCTCCAAAGTTTGCCACTTGTCGTTCGAACACGCATGTTTGGCAATTTTTAGAAACATAAATAAAAGTTAAATAAATATTATAACTTTATATTCCAAGCAAAGTGTGCCCATAGTTTACGTCTAAAAAGTATTAGAATTCTCCTAATGTTATCTTTTCAGTTATTCACTCTGAAACGTGCCCCCTCCATCAGTGCGCGTTAATGTAACTGTCCACCTCTTCATGCCTTGCGATTTTTTCTGTCCCAAAATATTTTTCTGGTGAAAACTAAGTTTGGATTCGTTTATACCAGACACTATACAATAGCACTTAAAAACATCAGTTGATTTAACAATCTCGACCAGCCATCCTTTGGTCCAACTTATCTGAAATCACCCTGTAGAGTCAATCATCCTAAAACGTGTCTTTCTTCCGTATAAGTCGTCATCTCGTATTGTAAGTCATAGTAATCAAAGCAAATAACCGATATGCAGTGTTGTGATTGCTCCACCATTTTCGCTAAATTGCGGCAAAATGATTTATCTGATAGATCCTCTACATTTCGACGAAATGTTATTAATTCGCCCCAACACTCCGCCAAAACACACTTTAAATTTATTATTGGTGAAAATATGAAAGCTGAGGCCCCGAAGCACGGCAGGATCGTTACGGTAGGCTTGTTTATATTTTCAGAACTTTCGATTGTCGCCTTATGTAACGTACTACTCACCACACACAGCCCCACGAGACACAATTGTTTGAGCATTCGTACAACTCGCGTGTTCTTTTGGGCCTAAAACGTCTTAGGATTTCGGCTTGGCTAAACATTGCTGAGCACATACAGTCCCTTGCATGTATTGCAAGATGGCCGGCTGGTCATGATCTCAATAAGGATAAGGCATGTTCTCGTAAGCGGTCATTGATGCAACGGCCTGTTTGTCCCACATATTTTTTTCCACTGAAAGATATCATCAGCAACTCTCTTTTTCGTGCATTTTATTTTACAATTTTTACGTATAAGAACTTTGAGGGTGCACTTTTCTTTCTTTTAAGCAATAACATCAGTAATTTCTTTCTTCTCCTTCTTCATAAACTGTATTAAATGCAGGGTGTCAAACCGAACCCGAACCCGAACCGAAAACCGGAACAAAACCGTTATTTTCGACCGAACCGGTACAAAACCGAAACCGAAATCGAACGCTTTATATTGAACCCGAACCGGGATCGAAACCATATTCTCATGTGGCGGTTACCGGTTCAACGCAAGCGGTTCAGGGCCAATTGTGTCAATAGTTGGTCCTAAAAGGAAAGGTTGCAGGCGTATTTCTTTTTTCTTATATTGCCAAGAGTAATCCTATATACTGTCAGATATTTTTACGTTTCGTTTTTATTGCGAACGTAATAAAAAATATATCATCATCAAGAGCAGAGACACAAAGACACCATGTGGTCAGCGAGCTCTCACAGTTCCCACCTCTACTAAGGCATCTGGAGAGCTTAAACTTTACTTTGTTCCTTGGATAGACCCTGGCGGCGTGGTAGCGGTGATTCAAAGCACCGCTTGGCCTCTTGGCTACGAAATGTCCAAGTGTCGGAGCTGATTGCGCCACTCTA